ACATCAAAACAGGTGACGTTCGGTAGCTAAAAATGCTAACATTCTTACCTTGGCTCTGTAGTCTCTCCAAAGTGGTCTTCAATGGCATTAAAACGATAAAAACGCTGCTGAAGTTAATCCATAGGTTAATCCAATGTGTCTGTGTCCCTTTGAAATGATTTCTGATAATCCATGAGCAATAAAACGGATAATCCATGCTTTTCCGTTTCTAGATGTCAGAGCTAGAGTGTAGCTTCACTCTAATGCAAAATTACATGCGCAAAGCCCCCACCTTTTTGTTTCACAATGAGTGTGTGTGGGGGACTCCCCCTTCGATTCTATTGGCTCTAACGGTCAGAAAGATGTGTCAACCATCAACATCGACCAATAGGTTCCAGAGATATGAAAAAAACAACATTTGCACCCAAATCACCTCAGAGGTGGAGTGTTTTTGGCTAAACCTCTCTAAAAAGGTCAAATGTCACTTGTTTTGCATCAATCTTGATACAGGGTACTTATTATATGTTGTACTTTGGATTCCTAAAGCTTTTAGTCTACCTTACCATCATCCAAGGGTAGTTTTCACTATAAGTAAAAAAGAATTTTTGGACGGACACTATAATTTACAGTTTTTTACTATGTTCAATCTGAATTTTCTTTAAAATAAAAAACATCTATATTGATTCTGACTTTTCTACATCCAACTCACAGGTGTATCATTACTTTGAGAAAAAAGATTATTAATTTAACCCTTTTAGAAGGGAAGATATGGTCATTTGTTCTGGGAATGTCATTTTCGAGCCTGAGACCGGAAAAACAGGCTCAGGGCTTAACAGGTTAAAGGTGTCCTATCATGCAAAATGCACTTTTTGATGTCCTTTATACATAAATATGTGTCCCCGGTGTGTCAGGGAACTCACAAAGTGTCAGAAAACAAAACCCTCTCTCTTTTCCTCCGTACCCAAATCTCTAAAAACGGGGGTACAACAAAGCTGATCCAGATTTGCGTATGTGACGTAATATCTGAAATGTGGGCTGGCTTTACACCCACAGCCCTATCAGAAACAATGCCCGACATGTTTTGGAAGTAATATGGTCTTTGTTTACATTAGCAAGCATCGCTAACACTCAGAGCTAACCTGTACTGGAGAGTGTATGTGTAAAAAAGCAGGAAATAAAAAAAGGAACTCACCTTGTAGTAAACCCGCAAGAAGCATTTGAGCTCCATACTGTTTCAGAAATAATCCTTGATGTGGTTTGGAACATGATATGGTGTTTCATCTGCAGTAGAATTCTGAGCAGGCACAAGCTCCCACCCCCCCCTCTTTTTTCTTTTGTTTTCAAGCTAAGGACCCAGATCAGCCATTCTCTAACAGGGCTGAAATAGAGGGATATGAGGGATGTCTAAAATGCATGATCTGTTTGATATTTTGAGCAAAACACACATAGACATGTTTTTTTATATATGAGACCCATAATATATGCCTAAAAATAGCATGATAGGAGATCTTTAAACTTCTTCACACAACTGTCATTGTTGATCTGTATTACATTTTGATTTTGATCGAAGATTCTGACCTGGAAATTATGATTTTTTTCAAAGATTTAGCTATTTTAATGTTTTCCATTGTTCCACTGTTGACAGAGTAAACGACCTAGCATCGCAGCTTGTATAGACCTTGGCCCTATATCTACTTATATTGCACAGCGCAACTGTCATTGCTAGTTTCGTATCGAAGTTGCCTTTTTTACAACCAGCTCCCACGCTGTGTACTTGTGCCAATCAGCGTAACAGTCAGTAGCGTGGCGTGGGGAAAAAATTAGGGGAAGCCAATAATACGTCCTTTTTTTGGGGTCGGGGGGGGGTGGTCAATGTAACGCTGTAACCAGATGAGTGATTACAGTGCCCGGTATCATTTTACACACATTTGTATCATACAGATGCAGGACTTACACACGCCTGCTTTCTAACCGACAGGTCCGCACGCACTCTCCAGCCGAAACTCTAATAAGCATTCATTCACAAACTAAACCAGGAGACCTTTAACGTTTTACGTCCGATTTGCTCCTTTTTTCCTCGCTGTACACAGCTCCAGTTTGGGCATTGGCCTGTCATCAGATTTAATTTGAATTGCTGCTGTAGCGGAAGTTTAGTACAATTACTTTTGATTAAATACTCCAAATCTCCACCCTCCATAATTGCACTTGCTCTGCTTGCTACTTTCTAACGGTGGTGAGAGTGGTGCATCTAGTATCTATCGATTAGATTTATGATTTGAAAATTATAAAAGTAGAGTAGACATGTGGATATTATCCGGCTGAACAAAACGTGCATTTATCTAATAGGTTCGTTTTCCACAGACCTTATTTCCAGCTCTTTTCCAAAACCCTATGGAGAAATCCCATTGCTTTTTTGTTGAGGGAACGCGAGCGCAGCTTACTTCCGGGTTTTAGGACGCGTCACTGCAACACTAAGTTGATGCGATTTGATTGGATTGTGAGGCAAGGGAAGCCAGCCGCCTCTGGCTTCCCTTGCCATGGCTCTGACTAATCACAGGTTGGCAGGGGCATGACGTGAGCCTTGTCTGATTGGTCAATCCCTCCATTTCTTTTCACCAAGGGAAGCCAATTTCGGCTGGCCTCCTCTCGCAACAGTGAGTGCAATCTACTGTTTTACCATTACATCTAGAGGGGCGCTGTTTCACTCTTTGTAAAATACTCAATGAAAATGGGGGAGAGATGGGCCGGCAGCAATACACAGCAAAGAAGAATTTCCGAAACTAAACTAAGTGTTTTTATTTATTTATTAAAATTATAACTACAATCCGAAAAAACAGGGGAAGCCTGGCTTCCCTTGGTCTCCAGAAGAAAACGCCACTGGTAACAGTGCATTGCTATCTTGAATCAGCAGAGAGCGATTCTACACTGACCAACTGACACCAACTACAACTCACCTGCAATGGTTCAATTCGCACCCAGGAGCACATAAGAACGTAGACATGACCTGGCCTATTTTGTGTTTAAAACTAAGACAGATTGACAATATTTTCGTTACCTTTTTATTTCTCTTACATTGAACTCTTCTATGTTCCATGCATGAGAATACAGCTCAGGCATTATCCCAGAATGCATTCCTATTTTTAGAAGTCCTGGTAGCTGTGGACTCCTTACATTCCAATGCATCTCTTTGCATTGCTGCCTCTAGGCGTCATCATAAAAACTGTGATCAGTGGGGCGTTACAATTGGTTTGCATCTCATTGATCCATCCAGCCACGCTCTCTGCATAAAGGTCATTTCTGTTTATTAAACCCCTTATTCTCTGAGTCTGTTGTATCTTCTGAAACACTGTTCTGTTTTTCTCAATGTGTACGCATTGACTTACTGGAGAGTTGTTCTTTGAGATTGTTTGGTTCAATTTAGCCTTGAAACCGGGGTAGATCTCCAAATGTACAATAATGGTAATTTAAAATTCACCTATTATGCAAAATGCTCTTTTTTATGTCTTTTATACATAAATATGTGTCCCCGGTGTGAAAGGAGACTCACAAAGTGTCAGAAAATAAAACCCTCTCTCTTTTCCTCCGTACCCACATCTCTAAAAACGGGGGAACAACGGAGCTGATCCAGATTTGCTGCGGTCATGACAACATTACTAAAATGTAGGCTGGCTTTACGTTGAACTGCTGGCAGCGTTCCGCCCCAACCTATCGTCCCCTAACAGAAACGTTGCTGTAGCAGAAACGATTAGTGAGGTGTTTTGGAAGTAATATGGTCTGTGTTTACATTAGCAAGCATCGCTAACACTCAGAGCTAACGCTGTACTGGAGAGAATATGTGTAAAGAATCCAGATATATAAGGTACTGTCCTTGTGGTAAACCTGTGAGAGAGAAAGCGTTTGAGCTCTATACTGTTTCAGAAATAATGCTTGATGTGGTTTGGAACATAATATGGTTCAAGGTTCAAGGTTCTTTATTGTCAATCTGACATAGCTACAGAGTAATTATGCAGTTGAAAAGCTTATGTCACAGGCTTCTCCAACAATGCAACATAATAACATAACATAATAACAATAAAGAGCATGAGCAATACAAAAATAATAATAGTTATAAAAATGAAATAAAGTTATGATGTGGAATAGTGCAGTATGAGTCTATATACAAGTTATTGGAATGATATATATATATTAGGTATTAGATACATACTACTGAGTAGCAGATGAATGTTTTATATGGCGTTTAATCACGGCAGCATTTAGCTGAGTTTCTGCTGGTAGACAGCCTTCTCTTCACAGAGCTCACTGCTTGCATGTGGATGCTCCAAAGGGGCGTGGCCAGCAGTAGCTCCAAAGGGGCGTGGCCAGCAGCAGCTCGGTTACATTTAAGGGGCCAGAGCCAGAATCAGCACTTTAGTAACAGGGCTGAAATAGAGGGGTATGTGGCATGCTACAATGGGTGATCTGTTTGGTATTTTGAGCAAAACCCTTCAGAGACATGTTTGTATAGATATGGCACTATAATATATTGTTCAAATATAGCATAATAGGTGAGCTTTAAGTTTGTGAGTCTCTCACATCCAATACTACCATTATGTTAGAGTGCTGCTGCCACAATTATCTGATTTGGTTAAAAGTTGAGATGCCAATATGGCAGATTGTCTTCCTGTAGAGAAATAGTGGATGGTCATTCTTTTTAGTTTAGTCTTTATTCACAGATCTACTGAGTGTGTAACCGTGCTTTGGGGTGACTGCCCCTGTGTCTACATGTGTTTCAGATTGCTCCCTATCCATGTCTGTCCTGCATGTGCGGACATGTGTTGTGTTCGTACCAAACAACATGAACACAGTGGAGTGTGTGTGTCAGTGCATGTGAATGCTGCTGCTTGTGTTTTGCTTCTGTATGAGTGTACTGGTTGTATACTCTGGAGCTTGGACGTGTCTGACTGTTAATGCACTTTATTTATTGGAAACTGTTGTGTTTAGTCTTGTTGGTTACACATGGTCCTGTCGCTCTCTCCAGAACAGGCCACCTGCAGTACAGGGTTCCCCCCAGAACGGCCAACCCCCACCCTGCATGAACCCTGCCTTGATGAACGCTCCTTGGGTGAGAGAGGGGAGGATCGGGGTAGTATTTTTCACCCCATCCAAACTGCATAAGAGTCATGGATGTTTTTTTAGTTTCCACCACTCACTTAAAATGAGATGTTTCCATGTGTATGCCCTGCCAAATTAAACAAATCAAATGTCTTTGTAGCAACCTAAACTATCTGCCAATGGGGTTAGCCAATTTTGCCTGGCTATAATTCTTAAAATTAGCTTACATTTATTTAAAATAGAACAAGAAGAAAGTACTTGACGATGTTTAATCCATCATGGAAAAACAGACTCCATGAAGCTTATAAATTGACATTGGATGATTATTTGACGTGTTGAAAGTAGATTTAGATGTTTTTAGGCGTTAGATCAACAGATTAGATCGTGCAATGCATCCTGGGATGAATAATTAGTTAGAGTAAGCTGAAGTGTTTGCAGAATCAATGACTGGATTTTTGGTTTGCTCGGTTTACCCAAAAATTATTTATCCAAATATGCTTATATACCTATACAACAATTAATATTAAGGCCAGTGCATGTCATTAATACATGCCTGTACTCACAGTGCACAGGCCTGATATTCCCCTTTGATATTACCTTGTAAGATTTGATGAACAAACTTAAAATGGTTGTCATTTCATGAGTTTCTTGAATTGAGAAGTTGTGTAAGTAACTCTTAAAATAAGTTGCTCCACTGCCTGGAATTAATGCAAACATTGTTACGTTTAAATATCTTATTAAGAATAAGTTAGATGTATTTTCTTACGATTACTTTTCTCAATCAAAACATGCTTGACAAGATTATGTGTCTTTTTAGACAATTTATACTTTCTTGAAATTCCGTTTCTGCAGTGTCCATCCTGTGTTCTTCGTGTCACACAAATGGAATGGAATTGAGACCTGTTTTTTTAATCATCCTAGTAATAAGAGGTTAAAATAAATTAATTCTTTGAATCCTCAAAATTCTATTAACATGTTTTTAAGATGAGCTGCTTGGTCACATTTGACAAATGTATAATTAGCAACTTCTGATAAATTGAGGCTGTGTTTATCCAAGGTTAATGGAGAAAATTCTTATTTTGGTAGTATCTAGTAAGTTATTACAAAAATAAAAGGTTTGGTGTTCTAAATGTGGGACACTGGCCACAATATTTATATTCATAAATATTGGAATGCAGCCAAAGCTATTTGAATGAATACCTCATAACTGTATTTTAATCTGAGGCTTCTCTGGCTGCCTCGTATTTTGCCTTGTTCTTTATACAGTGATGTGTGTGTGATCTTTTATTCACCGTTGTTGACAAAGGAAACTTTTAACAGAAAAATGTAAAATGAAATTGCACCAATAACATTTAAAATATTCATATATATGAATTTACCAGTGTAATGCACAGTTAATCCTGATAATTAATTGACACTTTTGTTTTCATAAAAAAGTTTATGTTTTGGATCTAATCTGTCTTTGTGTCCTTGTCTGTCTCTCTCTCCTCTCTCAATGTCGACTTTTTGTTCTTGTTCTACCTTTCCCTCTCCTTCTGCTCTCAGCAGTACCACTACCAGGAAGACGACTCGCCCCCTCTCGACCAGGGATTTCCGCGGCTCACCAACGAGGTGCGCGCCCCTGAGCTGGTGCACGTGTCGGAGAAGAACCTGTCTGAGATTGAGAATGTGCACGGCTACGTGTCTCATTCCCACATCTCTCCTCTCAAGGTGAGCCCCCTAAACCCCCAACAGTCCCAGTCTCGGCTTCTGCACCTGGCCTGGAGAACATGACCCTCAGCTCCCTGAATTAGAGTCATCATACAACTTCCTTAGTGCATAGAGCAGAAATGAGTGAGTGCACAGTTTATTATGTTGGAATTCAGGCCATTTTTGTATGCATAATGATATGGGAATTCTGCTCAGGTGGATTCTATACTAATTAAATGTTTCCTTCTATTTGTTTACACTTGATTTGTCCTTTTCCTTTTAATTTATGTACTTTCCTATTTATACACGTGTGCTACAGAAGCACACATGTGGCAATAAACTATTGGTAGGCTTGTAGTGTGTGTATGATTAGAAGATGAAGTGATGAAACAATGCCTTCACATCCTCTCCTCTCCCTGCACACATGTTCCCTCAGCACGGACTGGATTCGTTGTGAATCCTGACCTGGAGTCCAGACTCTTTAACATCTCTCCTCTACCTGTTGGAGAAACAAACACATTTAGGCAGTTTGAAGAGGTCTCAGGTGGATAGTTCAAGCTACTTTATTATTGACCCCTCAAAAAGGAAGTGATGTCAAAATTAGACAGCGGTTAAGCAGGCAGATTGATTTTGTTGTGTCTCAACTAAATGTTTTGCCAGCAGAGGGCCGTGTTGGAAATGAAGTGTAACTGTTGTTTCAGTGAGTGCACAATGAGTTGCCTGCTTTTGTAGTTCACAGAAGCACGCGCAGAATGAGTCCCAGGACTGGGATTTATAGTAGAAATGTATTAAAATCCTGATAAATGAAAGGTACATGGGTTGAAAAGTCTTAGCCAGTGCAGTGTAACTTATTATAAGACATTATATGATCGAAGAAAATATTTTGTATTCCTTTAACCTTTAGAAATACTGTCAATACAGTAATAAAGACTATTATCATTTCAGTCCCTCAGGTGGAATAGACTTTACATGTGCCATTTTCTTTATGGTCTTGGTATATTATTATACATATGAAGAGAAGTGTTACGCTTCCCGAGAAGTGACTGGAGATGAGAACCCGCTACGCAAACACTAGACGGAGACAGTGGTGAAGTGTCAAACAATAGTCTTTATTTGACCACGGCACAGGCAAGGTGTAGAGAGGAGCTCAGAGAAGACAGACGTGGAGCTGGATAGCTCAGGGGGAGACGGAGGTGCGGAGATGCACGGAGGAAGCACCGGCGTGGAGAGCCGGAGATCCCGAGCTGGCGAATGTAGACAGGATGAGCTGGTGTGCGTGGAGGCACGGAGGAAACACCGACGAGGAGAGCCGGGAATCCAGAGCTGGCGAATGTAGTCTGGATGAGCTGGTGTGCGTGGAAGCACGGAGGGAACTCAGACGAGGAGTCGGAGGCTGGACGTGGCAAGCAGAGCGGCAGGTGTGTGTAGATCTGGAGAAATAAAGATGCAGGGTTAGAAAGGAAACCTTTCACTAGGAGTATCAAAGGGTTTACTAGAATACTGCTAGTAGGCCTGGACGATAGTTTACCACTGAAGAATAAACGAAGAACTGGCGAAGTCTGAGGATGGGAACCAGGGTTTTAAGCAGGTGCAGGTGAGTAGTGGCAATCAGTGAGATTTACAACAGCAGTGAAGATGAGTTGGCGGGAATCAGAATGTAGGTCAACCACGCCCAGCCAGGAAGACAAACAAACATAGACGTGGAAAAGAAGGAGGAAGTACTGCAGATCCTCACAGTACCCCCCCCTCAACGGGAGCCTCCTGGCGACCACCAGGCTTGTCTGGATGAGCCCTGTGAAAGGCCCTTATCATTACAGGGTCCAGGACTCGGGAGCGAGGGACCCAGCATCGCTCCTCGAGACCGTAACCCTCCCAGTCCACCAAATACTGTAAGCCCCTGCCCCGGCGCCTGACGTCCATGAGACGGTGCACTGTGTAGGCAGGATGGTCATCAATGACTCGGGGGGGAGGAGGGGGAACGGCCGGAGGGCTCAAGTCACTGGTGTGAACAGGCTTAATCTGGGAGACATGAAAAGTAGGATGGACTCTCAATGTTCTGGGAAGCTTCAGCCGGACTGCAGAGGGGTTAATAATCCTTTGAATGGAGAAGGGACCAATGAAGCGTGGAGACAACTTCTTCGATTCTGTGAGGAGAGGAATGTTCCTGGAAGATAACCAGACAGACTGACCTGGGACGTAAGGAGGAGCAGCTTGTCTGTGGCGGTTGGCCGACTGTTGGTTCCGAGCTGAAGTCAGGAGGAGAGCAGAGCGAGTGTCTCTCCAGATCTTTTGACAACGACGAACATGCTGCTGGACCGAGGGAACTGCTAGTTCTCTCTCCTCTTCAGGGAACAGGGGCGGCTGGTACCCCAAAGAAGCCTCAAACGGGGAGAGACCAGTAGCAGAACACGTTAGGGAATTATGCGAGTACTCAACCCAGGGAAGATGGGAGCTCCAGGTAGAGGGGTTACGGTCAACGATGCAGCGGAGGGCTGACTCCAGGTCCTGGTTGGTTCGCTCAGTCTGACCGTTTGACTGGGGATGATATCCGGATGTTAAACTGACAGAAGCTCCCAGGGATTGACAGAACTCCTTCCACACTCGAGAGGTGAATTGAGGACCGCGGTCAGAAACTATGTCAGAAGGGATTCCATGTAGCCGGAAAACGTGTACAGAGAGGAGTTGGGAGGTCTCCAAGGCTGAAGGGAGCTTAGGAAGAGCTACAAAGTGGGCAGACTTAGAGAATCTATCAACAATGGTGAGAATTGTGGTGTTACCCTGGGAGGGAGGCAGACCGGTAACAAAGTCCAAGGCGATATGTGACCAGGGACGACTAGGGATGGGTAGAGGCTGAAGCAATCCTGCAGGTGTTTGGTGGGAGGACTTACTCCTAGCACACGTGGGACAGGAAGAAACAAACTCCTGAGTGTCCTTGTTGACAGTTGGCCACCAGAAGTGTCTCTTAAGAAGAGAGCGTGTGCGGTTTACTCCGGGATGGATGGAGAACCGGGAACTGTGGACCCACTGTAGAACCTTGGAGCGAGCAGCATCGGGAACGAACTGACGGTTCGGAGGACCGTTACCAGGATCTGGTTGCTCTCTCAAAGCCTCCTGGATGGTGTTATTAATCTCCCAAGAGAGGGCGCCTACAACACAACTCTTGGGCAGGATTGAACCAGCAGAGGGCTCGGGAGAGTCAGAAGAGTACAGTCTGGATAGAGCATCGGGCTTAACATTCCGGGAACCTGGACGGTATGTGAGACTAAAATTGAAGCGACTGAAGAAGAGAGCCCATCTGGCCTGTCGAGAGTTCAGCCGTCTCGCTGACTGGATGTAGGCGAGGTTCTTGTGGTCTGTCCAGACCAGGAATGACTGCTTGCTGCCCTCGAGCCAGTGTCTCCACTCCTCTAACGCCAACTTTACTCCCAGAAGCTCCCTGTTTCCAACGTCATAATTGCGCTCAGCAGGAGAGAGGCGGCGTGAAAAGAAAGCACAAGGATGAAGGATGTTATTAGAACCAGCAGTTTGTGACAAGACAGCTCCCACCCCAGTGTCTGACGCATCAACCTCCACAATAAACTGCTTCTCAGAGTCTGGCTGGATGAGGATGGGAGCAGAGGTGAACAGGGACTTGAGTTTGAGAAAAGCCTCATTAGCCTCTGGGGTCCAGAAGAACTTAATGTTGACAGAGGTGAGTCTTGAGAGAGGTGCAGCAACCTTACTGAAGTTCCTGATGAAGCGGCGGTAAAAGTTGGCGAAGCCCAGAAACCTCTGAAGCTCCCTCCTCGTAGTAGGGGCTGGCCACTCGACCACAGCCTCGATCTTTCCAGAATCTGCCTCCACTCTGCCCTGACTAATGATATAGCCCAGGAAGCTGATCCGGTTCTGGTGGAACTCACACTTCTCAGCCTTGACATAGAGCTTGTTCTCCAGCAGTCTCTGAAGCACCAGGCGGACATGGTTCTCGTGTTCCTCCTGGTCTTTGGAGAAAATCAGGATGTCGTCTATGTAAACAAAGACAAAGCGGTTAAGGAAATCACGCAGAACATCGTTGACCAGAGCCTGAAATACTGCTGGAGCGTTAGTGAGTCCAAAGGGCATGACTAGGTATTCAAAATGACCTAAGGGAGTGTTGAAAGCCGTCTTCCATTCATCCCCTTGACGGATACGGACCAGATGATAGGCGTTCCTAAGGTCAAGCTTGGTGAACAGGGTTGCCTCATGGAGAGGTTCAAAAGCAGAGGTGAGAAGGGGTAATGGGTACTTGTTCTTAACAGTAATGTTGTTTAACCCACGAAAGTCAATGCAAGGTCGCAGTGACTTATCCTTTTTGCCAACGAAGAAGAAACCGGCACCCACGGGGGAGGAGGAAGAACGAATAATCCCAGCAGCCACTGAGTCCGTGATATATAGCTCCATAGCCTCCTTCTCAGGACGGGACAGGTTGTAGAGGCGGCTGGTGGGTAGAGGAGCCCCAGGAAACAGATCTATAGAGCAGTCGTAGGGCCGATGAGGAGGAAGAGAGAGAGCCCTCTCCTTGCTGAAGACCAATCTCAGGTCGTGGTAGGTCGCAGGAACTCCAGTTAAGTCTACAGAAGCAGCAGAGTTTGGGGAGACAGAGACAGGAGGTACAGCAGATAACAGACAGTTAGCGAGACAGTGCTGATCCCATTCAATGATCTTTCCTTTGACCCAATCAATGTGTGGGTTGTGGGTGCGAAGCCACGGATAACCCAATACCAGAGGTGTGGAAGGTGCAGAGATTACCTTTAACTGGATGAGCTCTCTGTGGTTGCCGGAGGTGATCAATGTCAAAGGGGCTGACTGTGCTGTTACAGAGGAGATTATTTGTCCATTAAGTGCATAGGCTGTTAAAGGTTCATCTAACGGCTCCAGGCAGAGTCCCAGCTGTTCAGCTAACTCACGGTCCAAAAAACTATCCTCAGCACCAGAATCAATGAGAGCTTGGATAGGCAAAGTCATAGTATTAACACAAATCTTGGCGGGTATTAGAAAACGGC